TTACGTGACATTTGAACTCATAGATAATGTTTGTTCGTTGTAATTTTGACTTAGCCAGTGTGTTGTTATAGTAGATAATTAATTTGATTTTTTTATTCGGGTCGATTGGGGTATTGTATGTCTTTAAAATATTTCTAAGTGAAGATTTGTCTTGTTTGTAGTTAATGTGCATTTGGTTTTTGTAGAAAATATTTATGTAATTTTTGTCTGTATCATTGTTATTTACTTTGTGGAGAAATAGTCTAATTTGTTGGTCTATAAGGTGGTTAGGGAAGCCATTGTTAATTAGTGTCTGTTTTACATTATTGAGTTCTTTAGGAAAGGGTAGTCGAGAGAATGAATTCTGGTGTTCTCTTTTTAGCAAGTTTTTTTTTATAACTGCTACTTTGTATCTGAATGGGCATTCACGTTCAAAGTTAAGGTGGCAAGAGTTTTGCTAGAGGGTTTTTTTATAAAATGGGGTGCTAAAAGAGTTATTACTATATTCTACGAGAACATCTAAGCATGGGAGTTTATTTTTTTGATTAAGTTCATAGGTAAAATTAAGGACAAAGTTTTTCTCAAATGTGTATAATAATAATAATAATAATAATAATAATAATAATAATGGACTCTCCCGTCGGTTTCGACGTATGAGGATCTGGCAGCTTATTGATTCAGTTATGAAAGTTTATGCGATAATCTTAAGTGGCATTTAAGACCTGTTAGTGATTTACAAAGAAGGCCACATATGGAGCAAGTGTGAGATGAGATCACTGTTAGATTGGCAGACTTTTTAGATCTTGCTCTCGCTTCTTGAAGATGATTCAGACAACAAGCAGATTGAAAAATGGTGAGTCCACTAAAACACGTTGATCTCCATTCTACCCGCTCCAAAGCTAAGGGCTCAAGGGTGTTATGTGATATATTGACTGCTGACAAGTTGCTTTTCAGCTTGTCTTTGTATCTTAGCCTAATAATATATATATATATATATATATATATATATATATATATATATACCTCAGATAAATAGATGACGTTCTTCTCATATATATATATATATATATATATATATATATATATATATATGTGTGTGTGTGTGTGTGTGTGTGTGTGTGTGTGTGTGTGTGTGTGTGTGTGATGAAAAGGGCAATATTTTAAAATCCCAGGAAGAGGTAATACTCCACTGAATGGTGAGCCCATCAGTAAGCTAAATCACGAATACAGTAAAAGCTAAGAAAAATATCCCTGTAACCCCACCCCTACGCACTAGTGGCATTCCTGCCTTGCTTAGGTGAAATGATTATATATTATATATATATATATATATATATATATATATATATATATATATATATATATATATGTGTGTGTGTGGGGGCAGCACATCTTCATTCACCTATGTTGAATAATCAAGACATATATCTATTTATTATCTATCTATTTTATTGTAATCCTCTCAAATTCACGGATCAATTAAGAAAGACGCCTTAGTTTTAGTTATTTCTTTTATTTTTCCAAGTACTTTTCAATCTCATTTAAAATCGTTTTCAAGGGTGAATTGCTAAGATAAAAACGAATTAATGTAATTTATGGTTGTAAATGTTTTTGTAAAGGCGCATGAAATACAGTCCGTTATATTTAGTTTAGGTTAAGAATATGTTAGGGAGATAACTTTAAATCTTTTATTATTAATGTGTGTGTGTGTGTGCGTGCGTGCGCGTAAAGTAAGCAGTTCCTAAGCGAGTCTGCTATAAAGACATACTGTAAAAAGCAAGTTCAATGACAGAACCTAGAATTAGATTTCCAGTGACAAGTGACCGACCTCGACCAATAGTTCCAAATGTTTGCACGTAGTCATCAGGCGGTCGGTAAGAGTTGTGTGAAAATGGGCACTTTATACCTCTCAGCCCATTCTAAGATGTAGTTGATGCGTCCATAACAAGTACACACCAATTAAACTCACCGTGTGTAGGGAAATCTTTATCCAGCTAGGATGCAACCGTAAGTTCTATGCAACAGTTTCTTTCGCACTTCTCGCATGTGGAACTCTCATCCGGCTTTTTGCTTTTGATCTTCAAACATTTAAAATCTCAATATCAATCATCTGTCTTCTTAATTCCTGTTCTTTTATGGTCCTCTCTCCTTAATAGTTTTTTTTCGCTCTCTCTCATATTTTCTAACACTCAGTAACCCCTCGCGTTGTAGTGGCGTTATTGTTTTGCTTGGGGTGAAATGATTCACGTTCAATACTGATGTATCAACTCGAGACTCGGTAACAGGAAAAACATTTGAGTGTGAATAAATGTTTCTCTTATATGTTCTAATTGTTTCTTTATATGCAGGCTTTTATATTTTATAAGTATCATTATGTTACACTTTTGGCTTATTAAGCGACCGATATATTTATGCCTTGTGAACGTCACGGAATTTTCAAGCAGCCGACTGTTGAGAAGAAAAAGGATTATATAGCACGAATCCGTGAGCAAAGTCTGTGCTTTTTAGAAATTAGCAATCCAAATTTTAACTTTGATATAGACTTCAAAGTTGAGGGCAACCGCAGGTATCAAGGTCACTGCTGTCACAGACACCATGCTCGTTTAGAAAGATTAAAGAAAATACAGCTTAAGACACGTATATACCTGCACCTCGGCTGTTTGTCTTGCTCTAAAGTTGACACGCCAGTTTTTCAAGCCGTTGCTAGGAAATATATATTTGTTAGATTTTATTATGCAAAATAATGTTTTCCCAATAAATCTGATATTAACCCAGAAATTTTCAGGAATTTCTTATTGATACGAACAAATTAACTTGCAAGTTCAGCTTATATTATCTTTTTATTTAGGCACAAATCCAAAAGGAGACATAGCAGAAGGTATTTCCACCGAAACGTCGTGCCTAAAGTTTAAAATTAATTTAAGATAATGAAAAATCTTGAAATCTTAGTTTTAATTTCAAGCTGATAGATTAAATTTAATATTTCCAATAAGCGAAATACCTTACTGTATTACAAAACTAATTGAAATTCATTGGAAGGGATTTTCGTTTTGAAATTGTTGACTTTTTGTTTTAATTTAGCAACATTTTTAGCCATCAGTCAATGCGGTAGAATTCTCTTTTTAAAATTTTTTTCAAAAATAGAATATGCTTTTCTGAAACTTTATTTGAGGAACATTAGCGATTCAAAATTTAATGAATCTGATTTGAAACAAATATTACTTTATTACATAAACTTACGTGCTAATAGCCTTGGGAAAAAAATTTGAATCCTCTTCTTCTTCCCCCAGCTGTGGGTAAATAGCAGGACAGACCGGGTTCTATAGCTTTGGATGGCAACTGGTTTACCGCAGAAAGAAATGGCAACCTACTGCGGGAAAAAAATCTGCATCGTCAGTCATGTGTCGAAAGATACATGATCGCCTAAGCGTGTATCACGCATGGCATATAAATTTAAAAAAAAATAATTGCTTTAAGTTTAAAATATTGCAGACATGTATTTTTAACATGCTGGAAGCTGTTTATTGAAGGTGTTGAAAAGCTGAAAGCTTGTGTGACAAACGGAAATTTATCGAATATTTTTCTACAGTAGACATATCTGTAAAACGTACCTGAGGAATAGAACATAAGCGTCATTTTTATATAATTTTCAAGTACTCAATAATCTTAAAAATTTGGGAAAATATTCTCCGTAATCTAATGTTTTATTGAATTTTAGATACTTTCGTTTTAAATTGATAATATTTATCGCTCTTATTTTCTGATAATGTCATGTATGAACGTCCGTTATTATAAAAATTGGCTGCTTTTTACCAAAAAAGAAATTCAAAATTGGTTTAAAATATTGGTCGTCACTAAATTGTAATGAGCTTTTCCATTTATGATTAATAAATGTAGTTTTTACTTAATAACAGTAACCGGATAAATTAAGATCTAAAAGCTGGTGAATAATGGCGAAGAGCACCCTTCTTCGAATCTTGGCACTACACAATCACAAAGAACTGTACCAAATAACAGAAACCGTGTTACTTGAAAAATTTCAACAACAGAAAGATCTAAGATGGTGACATAATCAAGATGTTGAAGTACAACACTACTTTAAACAAAAGATTAGGAAGGAAAGTCACAAATCAATACTGGAAAGGTCAAAAACAGCTATTGGACTTTAGAAAACTATACATAGATGCTCTGTAAACACATTAGGGTAGCAGAAGCATACAATATACAGCAGCTCCAGCATCAAAATGTGTTTCCTGGGCAAACAAACCTGAAGAAACACAACCCTCTGAAGTATGGTTTGAATTTAGAGTTTTCATTCTTCTAGACTGGTTGCCAATCAAGGCTATAGAGCTCAGTCTTCTCTATTTTTGTCAGGTTTTGAAATTCAGCAATTACTTCAATCATAAGTCTTCTGTAAACACTGACCAGTCCTTCACATCTGCTGTTAGGGATTTTTTCCCACTCCTTGAAAAATTGAGTTAGTTGAGAAAGGTTGGATGGGATATCTGACATAAATTGCCAGCTTCAGGTTTAACCACAACATTTCTATTGGATTGAGATCCGCGCTTTGTCTAGGCCAATCTAGTGTCCGAATCTGTTTTCTTTTAAGCTATTCCTTGGTTGTTTTGCTGCTATGTTTAGGGACATTGTTATATTGCAGATCCAATTTTCGGCCAAACTTGAACGCCCTGACTAATAGCAGGAAATTCTGAGCCATCATTTTTTATAGAACTATGAATTCCTTTTTTGTCTTGGATAATATGCAGTCGTTCAAGTCCGGAGATAGAAAAGCATCCCATCATCATGCTTCACTGTTGGAATGAGGTTTTTTGTTTTTGTACAGAGTTTTAGCTTTGCTTCAAACATGACAATTTTGATTTTAATCCAACAATTCAATCTTTGACCCATCTGTCCAGAGAATAGATTTCCAGAAGGTCTCTGGTTGGTCCAAGTTTTCTTTGACAACATTTCACTAAGAGCATTGTTCTTCGTTGAGAGTAGAGGCTGTCTTCTAACAATGTATGCCATGTCTGATTTTATTTATTTACTCCAGACGGAAGTCAGAAACTTTCTCGGTGTGACATGTCGGTCAGCCTTTACCTGATTTATTATTTTAGTGATAGTTTTGTTGGGCGACAACTAGACAGAATTACGATCTGGTTGAATGTCCACCATTTGTAAATTGTTTGCATTAAAGTGGATATATGAAGCTTCAAACTTTTTGATATGGTCTTATAGTATTTCCTAGACTGGGAAAGAATCAGTACAGTCTTTCTTGATGTCCTCAGACACCCCTTTTTCCTCTCGGCATTGTTGATCCGTGAGTCTATAAATTGGTATTACTGTAGCTTATCTGGTTTCTCCTCTCTTAATCTGTGCTGCCCAACCAATTTACTAAGGGTGTTTCATTTGATTGGTCAGATTAAATTGAATAATTAAGCACCGAAATGTGTTTCAGTTGAATTTATTACCTGCTTGACTTCAGAAATACAGTAAAGGCTCCACATACTTTAGCAGGTGTCAGATTTTCAGTTTGGGGGAAATTTTTGGATAATCAAGTCCCATATATGATAGACGATTTGGTTGTCATGTCATGTTCGATTCATGAATGACTTGTCAGATGATTTTCCCGCAATAAAATGCCGTTTCTTTCTGCCGTAGACTGGTTGCTAGCCAAGGCTATGGGGCCCAGTTTGTCTTGCTATTCAAGCTGTGTACATTGAGAACGGGATTTGAGTGTAAGTGAATATAACTGTCCCAGCTGGGATTCGAACTCAGCTCTCCAATTTATCAGTGCGAGCCGTTATCCATTACACCATAAAGCACATTTTTATTAAATAAACAATTAAAGTAATTAAAATAGATATTTTTGCATTCATTATTTGGTAAGTCAACTTTACGTAACCATAATAATTTCTGTGAGGTAGTACACAAACTTTCAAGCAGCAACAGAAAAAGTAATAACTATAACTATACTATGCTATTATAGTATTCTATTATACTATTGTAGTATTTTATATATACTATATTTTATTAACTCTACTATTATAGTATTTTATTTGCATTACGATGAGTAACAATTGAATAGAAGATAGAATCTTATATCACTCAGATGTGTTGCAAATATCTATATATATAAAACTGACTAAGTGTGTGTTTATGTGTGTGTGTGTGTGTGTGTGTGTGTGTGTGTGTTCGCGAACTACTCGAGAACCATAAGGCATATTTCCACCAAATTTGGAACATAGATTGTACTCGATACTGAGTATGTCTGGGCAAAAAAATTAGTCATTTTTCAAAAATCAATAACCGATAATCGATAAATATAATGTTTAAATGGAAATTTCCATTAGTTTTGTTGTTTTTAAACTTTTAGACTTGAAGTCTAAATCCTGAGGCCGATTTTAATGAAACTTGATAAGTGTATGCAACTTACTGGCACGCCTATTATACGCCATATTGATTTTCGTATCTTGACACTGGGACCTCCAGGGTGCCCCGAATGGACCCCCAAAAAATTCAAATTGCTTCGATTTTGATGAAATTTTGCATGTTTGTTACGCTTTTACATTGAGATAGAAATCGATTGTCAGATTTTTTTAAATACACGAGCGGAGTTCCCAGGATGACCCTATAAACCCCTTGATGCCTCAATTGCTTTTCAAGTGTATTTTGTAACAGTATTCTCCAATTTCAACGAAGATTTCAGTTCATATTGAGATTATATCGAGTAACTGAAGTAGTCACTTGGAATTCACTGAAAATCAACACTGGGACCCCCACGAATTAGGGGACCAGCGGGGAACCCCGAAATTTTTAATTAAGTCTACAGCCTTTGCAATAAAGTCGATTAAATAGAAAACTTTAAAAAGATGTGCTTTATTATTTCAATTACTATTAGTCTTAAACCTGTCCATTGGCTTGAAATTTGGGACCCCAAGGGTGAACCAAAGGGACCCCCAAATTTTCAAATTGCTTAGATTTCGACGGAATTTTACATGTATGTTACCATCTTAAAATGAATCAAAAACGATTATCAGATTTTGAAAACTACATAAGGGGCCCCAAGATGACCCATGAACACCTTGCTGCCCCATTAGTCTTAGTGTAGTGGTTAGCAGCATTCCGATGAAAATTTGCACATAATTTGTGTTTAGATCAATCAACTCAAAATCAAAACTGACATCCCATGTGTCATGAATACATTATGAAAAATATCAATTTTTCCCATGGATTTCCCGTTTTGGTACTGAAATAGTTTAGTTTGCATTAACTTGAAGGAAAAAATTATATTCTTCCTTAAGAAAAAAAGAATAAGTGCAAACGAAAGTGTGCACCGATGAGAGAAGTGCACGTAGGTATAAGACGCGTGTCTGGGATCGATCGAGATGTGTAGTGCGTACAATTGATTTTGCTCCACCGGCAATGATTGACGTGTAGTATTCATTAGTGCTATGTGATGAAATAAATGCAAAAAATCTCATTCGCATCAAAGTTGTCATCCAGTAAAAAGTTAGGCTGCCTTCATGCATGTATATTTTGAATTTTTGATACTTTAAATTTAAATTTTTAAAAATCATATTATTAAAAAGTTTAAGCGTAAATGCCAATTTTTAATTATGTATTTATCATCTTCTAATCAGCGTTTAGATAATGCTTACTAACTGATATATTTGGAAACTTGAGCCCTAAAATTTTGACAGTTTTATTCTGAAAAATGCACTTATAATAATGTAAAGACCCTCTTTCGATTCATTTATAATTATGCTAAACTTAGCGTGTACGTTTTAATGTTCATAGTGAGTAGGTTTCTAGCTGCACGTTAATTTTTATTTTTATCACTAGAACGTTTTTTGGTAGTCTATTTTTAGATAAATCCCAACTTTACGAGCTTTCTTATAATTGTTTACCACGTTCCCGTGGTCTCCCTTATAAACTTGCATTTAATTTATTGTGGCTATATTTCCATTAATGTGTATAATATTGTTTTTTATTGATTACTTCATTGTTATTCAAAAAGCTTAGCCAAACCCCTCGAACTACAGCCTGACAGTAATGCCAAGAAAGCGAAATCCTTCACTTGGACATGCTACTACTACAGCCAAACGCATGAAATTAGACTAACACAAAATGCTATTCGTACAGCTAATGCAAGGTCAGTAGAAACTAATTAACTAGTTAACTAGACGAGGAAGGAACGCTGCCAGAACCTCTGCTACTCGAGCTGTCAAAACTGAGGGGCAAAGAACAATTCTATACAGTTTTTGTGAACGCTGCTTTTCAGCCTTGGCACAGCTGCTAGAAGTCTTTGTTGAATTTCTTCTCCTTCCAATGCATTTTGTTCATTCAATGTAGTTTGAGCAAAAGCTGTCAACAAAGCATTTCTCCTCAACAATTTTCCAAGATCGATTGCGATTAATGTACTCTTCATTTGCTGTCAATTTTTTTGTATCTTCTGTGCTTCTGTAAAAAACAACTTTCTCCTGTTATAAATGTTTTCACACTTCATGTCATTATAATTTTTCGCCATATAGATAAGAGGCACTAAAGAAAAATCTTCTTTATTTTAATTTTATAGATTGGATGAGGTTCGTGATTTTTTTTTTTTTTTTTGAATAAACCCAGTCAGCACCGGGTAATTCTGCTAGTTCTTAATAAAAACAAATGAAAACCCAGGATGTCATATGGTATATTTATCCTATACACATGAGGATATCAATACAGTTTTAGAAACATTGGTTGGTTAATAATAATTTTATTGCGAACTCATTTACTTCTTAAATCTAGTCTACCTAGAAAGTTTTCTTTTCACAACTAGCTAAGTATTGTAAATATCTGTTATAATTGTTGAAGGTACGACTTCAACTTTTGAAAGTAAAAGATGAATTAGTCAAGTATTTGGTTTGGTTGATTTGGTTAAGCGGCACGTCGGCTGAAAATCACCGCCCTAAAGCATATAGAGTTGGTAGATTGATATATGGCTTATGAGATGTAATTTTCCTATAAACATACATAACTTATAACTTATTTATTTAGAAATACAGTAATCAAGATATTTGCATTTATTTGTTCAAGAAGACTAGAATAAATCAATTCAGAATTGGAATCTTATTCTTTTTCTACAAAGCAACTAATCTCAAATCGAAGTTTCGGCATGAAAAGTTTAAATTCCGAGTTAGTTTATTGCGTTCACTTTCGCACTTATGCATTCGGGAAAGTCATGAACCCGTCTCTTTTAACACTAGTTACAAGTATATAATAATAACAGCGGGACTAAGCTCTCTAGCCTTAGGTGGTAACCAGTTTAAGAGAAGGAAAAATCTGAATTCAAAACTGTGGAAAAGAGAAGGAGAAACCAGTGCACTATCCTTCTTAAGTATATATGGCAAGCCATAGATAATAAGGAAAAAAGAATCTGTGGAGAATTCAGGGTACAGAATAATGGTATCCGAAACAAAATGGCATTTAATAAAATCTCAGTCAAATTGTGAGACGGCATGTTTTTTATTTTTTTTCCTTTTTTAGTCATTGTGATTTAAATAACGACTTGTTTCGTCATAGGGGAGCCTTTACCAATAGAAATCAATGAGAAATGAAAAAGAAATGCATAATGAAACATTTAGAAATGTTGAATTCGAAACCGTAAGATTAAATAACAAGCTGAGTAGTTCTTGCGGGTCACTGTATAATTTGTGGTCACGTCAATTTTGACACATGACCTCTATCTGGAAGGGGAAAATTAGTGGATCTCAAGATTATATTAGGGGATCTCTCCATCGAGATAATAATATCAATAGAAAAATCGAGAAAAATTGGAAATATTGTAGAAAATAAGAGTGAAAGGTTATCAGAAATGCACACGCTCAAATATTATATTTAATCTCTATTTGAACAATTTCTGATATAAGCTCGTATCCCTTCCTTCCTTTTGTTCGATTTCTTTCTTTCTTTCTTTCTTTCTCACACCCTTCCTTTCTCTCATTACTTCGCATCTTCCTTTCCTTGATTTTTTCTCCCCTTCTTTCTTTTCTTTTTCTCACTTTCCTTACTTTCTTCATTACAACTTTCGACCATGTTTTCTTTGCCATCTTCATTATTCTCACCTTCCTCCTTTTTTTGTCACCTCACACTTTTCCTCTTTTACTTCCCTGTGCCCCCTTTTCTCATTTTCCTTCCTTTCTCTGTTTCTTACTGTTCTTCCTTCCTTCCTTCCTTCCTTCCTTCTTTTCCACCATTTTTTTCTCACCTTCCTTCCTTGTCCTAATATTTTTGAAACTTTCTTCTTTCCTATTTCCCACTTTTTTCCTTCTGTACTTTATTGCCTTTCTCAACTCCCTTTGTGCTGTTCCGTTCCACCAAAACCGATCACAGGACCCTCTTCCATTTCACTGTATTATTCTTGGCATTTTTCACCATCTTTAAAGGACTCGATGATAGTCCCAAAGGGAGATAACTTTTTCATTAAACAACTTGCACTAAAACCGGAGAGAAACAAGAATTTATATCGGAAACACTCCTACAAGCCAAACAGACACCGTAACGTGTATATATGCATTGCACAAACTTAAATATATATATATATATATATATATATATATATATATATATATATATATATATATATATATGCTACACTTCAAAAGATTGAAGCCATCCCAGAATTAGCATGGGATGAACTTGATAGAAGAGTGAAAAAGAAATAATAAAGAGGTCTTTGAGTCATTGGAAAAAAAGGAATCAATTATCAACCATATTCTTTTAGAAACTTTTACAATGAATGACAAAAATTGGTGCTGCAGCAATCTTGGCAAACCGGGGATATTTTGATGAGAGCAAAATTTAATCATAAAATGCTTTCTTTATGTTTGCCATAATAAAATATTAAGAAAAAATCATGTCTCACTTTTTTTAACCATGTATAATAATTGTCTCTTATTCAAAATACAAGACAACCAATTTTGTAACAATATATATATATATATATATATATATATATATATATATATATTTGTAGGTCTGATGAATTGGATCGTATTTACGATTCCAATGGAATAAATTATGACCATGGAATATTAGTGTTTAAGCCTTTTTATTATATCCTTACTCTGTCCTGGACATTGAGTTCTACCTGGATTCTATCCTCTTGGAATTTTTTTTTATACATATATATATATGTATGTGTATATTTACCACTAATATTATACACACACTCACACACACACACACACACACACACACACACACACACACACACACACACACACACACATATATATATATATATATATATATGGGGGATGAATAATGGTATCCGAAACAAAAGTAAATATAAATGGACAAAGTGGAAAAGCTACAAACGACGCGTTTCGCTATTTTGATCTCTGAGAATAAGAAGCGACTATGAACCAAATTCCTTATCATATCTCCAGAAAAACTCCCTGATTTCGGTGGATTGATATAAATTCCAACAAACACCAATTGCTCTATATATATATATATATATATATATATATATATATATATATATATATATATATATATGATAGGAAAATGAACACGGTAGTTAATAGATATTAATCAATCATGTTTCCCTTTATTAAAGCTTCGTCAGAGATCAAGATAGAAATGATAAAAAATGATTAAAATCAATGAGACGGAAATTAATTATATGTTGTGTTTTGCTATTTCATTGCTTAGATACGTGTATTGAAGTAACAGATAATATTTAAATATATGTGCCAAATATTCTCGCAGATAAAGTGTGTAAATGTAAGTAAGATGCAGTAAGATGTTTTGATTGGATACATGTCACGTGTAAGGATGTAACAGATTATATTCCAATAGGTGAACTCGCAAATGGATTAGTAATCCCTAATACAAGGATTGTTACAACCACCTCCAAAACTATCGGAGATATAATCAGGATGAAAAATAAAATAAATAACAATTCAAATGCTTGAGTTTATCAAATAAAATTTATACTGTGCAATAACATGTGCATCAGGGAGACTTCACGTGATCTAAAAACCCACATCTAGGAACACAAATGAGATTTGCGTTTAGATAAACACACAAATTCTCTCGTATAACACCGCAGCAACATAGGATATAACATCAATTTCAACAATGCTAACCTTATCAAAAAGTAACATAACTCTTTAAAGAGAAAATACTATGAAAATATAATCAAATAATATAGCAATATTACCGACTATTAACACACTTTTAAAAAACTACATTACATCTCCATTTTTCTACAGATCCATTATTCATGAATCTAACGAAAAAATGTTCAAAATATCCTGTAGCGTTTCACTAACCTTTACATTCTTTAACATCCAGAATGTTTTCTTAAACTTATTTGAATATTATCTGTTACACGCATCCAATCAAAACACCCTACTGTAGCTTACTAATTTTTTTACACACTTTAGCATCGAGAATGTTTGCCACACATATTTGAATATTATCTGTTACTTCAATACACGTGACACGTATCTAAGCAATGAAATAGGCTAACATAACATACCCTCTTTGCTTTTAATCATTTTTTATAATTTCTATTTTGATCACTGACGAAGCTTTAATAAAGTAAAACATGTTAGATTAAGATCTCTTTCCTACTTGTTTATTTTATCATTTTGTTGGATTCCTATCCATATTCAGTCTCTCTCACTCTCTTGATTCATGTTCACTTCTCACCTTCAGAGATCAAAACGCTTTTTTACATGCAGTTTTGTCTTTCATTCTAACCTGAGGAAACCGAAGGAAGCAGGCATACTCGGCGAAACGCCTCGTTTACAGCTTTTCCACTTTGCCTCATTATCTTTAATTATATATATATATATATATATATATATATATATATATATATATATATATAGAGAGAGAGAGAGAGAGAGAGAGAGATAGATAGATAGATAGATAGATAGATAGATAGATAGATAATATTAGTGGAAAATATACATACATATGCAAAATATATATAAAAAATTCCCATACATGTATATTTTCAGAAAAAAAAAATTTCAAGAGGAAGGGTCCAGGTAGAACTCAATGTCTAGGACAGAGTAAGGATATAATAAGCGTTTATATATATATATATATATATATATATATATATATATATATATATATATATATACAATGAGTAGGGCGAGGGTTTCTGTATGTTTTGCTAAATGGTGCTGACATACCAAATGCGCCTGTAAACTTTACTGTTATTTAAAGTTAGCAACAGCATGATATATCCACTTCGCCATTATGAATAGAATCGTAAAATTCACTTAGGGGCACTAGGCTAGGCAAAGTTTACAGCTGTTCCACTGAAGTTTGGCAGGCATCTTACGCAGAACGTGTACATAAAACACTGATCCTATGCGAAAATACCAAGCTGTACTGAAATGATCCCACACATCAAATTGTCATTAATTTCGAGGTTTTATTGAAATTCCAAAGCATTTTCTAAATTTAGGAATAAAAGATAACATAATTAACATACAAAAGCAAAGATGCTTGTAATTTTAATTACTAAATTTCCTGTTTTTAATCCTGTAGCCTATTTTTTAGTCTTTAGGTTATCATCTCCGCTTCAGCTTAATCGGTAACGGATGTGTACAAGAGGGCTTGACAGAGATCATTCCTCTTTAGGATGGTTTCAATTCACGGTTTTAGCTCCCCACCTAGATTGTTTGACTTGCAAAAGCTAGACAAACCAGTCTACTTTACTATTTCGCCCAAAACGGGGTTTGGGAGAAGAGATGTACACGGTGTTTCACAATTTTTTTTAACAAAATGATCGGGCAAAAATGAAAGACCACAAATAATAAAGTAATAGAAATTAGATTTATTGAAAGGTAAAAGGATAACATTTCAGGATCTGCAAGCATTTAGTCTCAAACATGAACCAAAAATGTCAAGATGTCTCCAGATGTCCGGCGTTCAGTTGAAGTAACTGTTGAGTGCAAAGTTGTTGACAACTCGTGCACATTCCTCCTGGGTGATGGCTGCTTTCAATGCAGAAATGGTGCAGGGGTTGCCTAAGTAGATTTTGTCCTTGAAGAACCCCCAGAGAAAGGAATCTGGTCAAGCGAATGAGGTGCCCATTCCACTGATGGGAGCTACCCACACTTTACAAGGAGCCATACTATGGCAACATTAGCAATGTGAGGAGGAGCACCATCCTGATGGAACCACTGTTCCTCCTTATCAAGGTCTTCACGTTCCTCGAGCTCTCCCCATCTGAGAGGCCGCTGCTTTGTTTCAACAACTGTGAAACACCCTATATTCATCCCTTTTGCACATGCATTAATGCTATGTGAATGCAAACAGCCTCGGACGGAACTGGAACATGGTTTAGTAAGTTAATTATATGGAATTGCTCAAAAGAGTCATTTTGGTAAAAAGTGACATTTTTTTTTAATTTGATGTTTTTATACTTTACAGTGGCGTGGGTGTGTATGGGATGTTGTTTGTGGTTAAATACTGGCTCTGTTAATGCATCGTCAAAATTTTGGTGTTTTTTAATTGTTTTGGGATAGTTTCAAATAGCTGATGAGTCTGGGGTTATTAAGGTAACTATGAAAAAAGAGAATAGAGATCAGCCTTCCTATCAAGTTGAGGCTCTGCATTGCAGTTCTTGCATCCACCATTTTGTATGCAAGAAAAATATGGAAGACCATTACCATGCTATGCAGAAGACTCAACTTTCCAAAAATTGTCTCTCTTTATGTATCATTTCCCCTCATAATGTATGCGATCATGGCTCTCCAGAATTTCCTATCCCTTGTAGGACCTTTCGTTATTTCTAAACCCTGTTCCACCATCCATTTATTCGTCAAGTATGCTATGCGTTATTCTCCTCTGTCCCTCTCCCCCTCAATCCGTCCTGTGAGTAAGAAATTTTCTAAACCTTCCTTCCTCTTTATGTGCCCTAGAAATTTCAGATGTCTTTTCCTGATGTTAAATAAAAGTTTTCTTTTTGTTTCCATTTTCTCTTCGTTGTTTCTCAAAGTTTCAGTCCATGTTATCCTCATTATCTTTCTGTAGAACCAGATTCCTGTTGATTCAAGTTTCTTCTTCATTTTTGAGGAAATTGTTCAGCATTCATTGCCATATCACATAAAAGTTCTTCTCTCTCTTAATACTTTGCTTAGCTTTTAGAACGCATCTTTGGCTATCCCAATGCCTCTTCGGATATCTGTGTCGCATTTTTCGTCTCTATTAGAACACTTCCCACCTATTTAAATTTGTGTGCTTCGTTGATTTTGGTATATCCGATTTGTAATTTATATTTTGTGCTCAACCTTTTGTTAATAACCACGCATTCTGTCTTCGTACACTTGATGTTTAACCTTTTCTTCTTGCGGTGTTTACTCGTTCCCCCACGTGGACGAGATGTGACACAAGGTCTTTTTAAAGTG